CTTCCCATTACAATGAAATATAATTCCCAAATAGTTATAGGAGTCAACACATTCAAGTTGAATACCATTAAAATAAAATTGAAAAGTTTTACCCAAATTTTTACCCCAGCTATTGAAGATCATGACATTTGATTTTTTAATGTTAACCTTAAGGTTCCATTTTTGACAATAATTTTCAATGCCATTAATACCACTCTGTAGCCCTTCATGACTAGTTGATAGAAGTAACAGGTCATCGGCATAAAGGATACAATTAAATTTTAGACCATTCAGGTCAACAGGATCAAAATTATTAACTTTGTCACAAATATCATTTACAAAGATGTTAAATAAACTCCGGCTGAGGTTGCAGCCTTGTTTAACTCCCCGATGTGAAACGAAATATGGCGTTACACCACAATTTAATTTAACACAATATTTAGTGCTACTATAAATTGACTTGATGATCTTGTAAAATTTTCCACCCACCCCTAATTTTAGGAGTTTATATAGTAGACCATCACGCCATACCGAATACTTTATGTTTTTCCTGAACTTTATTTGCCCTCATTGAAAATAAAACAGACTCAGGTGACTATAATGCCCTCAACGTTCAATAAAAATTGTGTCTAAGCCGCTTGTGGCGCTTTAAACAGACAAACCTTCAGCAATCGATCACGTGACTTTGGCGCATCCAATCAGAACCCATCATTTAGCTTCCAGGCGGCCCATTTTGTGTTTTATCTACGTCTAAATGCATACACTGTGTTGTCAAGACCGTATGCGAACTGGATGTCAGTATACGTAGGAATCCCCTTGATTGTCAATGTGAATGTGGATCTAAACCTGTAGATTTTGACCAAACTCGGTATGATACGCCTAACGGGTGTGCCACTTTGCCCCAGGGGACTGCCGTACACACAGTAGTCGCGTAGCTACAATATTCACAGGTGAGTAGCTTGGGTAGTCGCATAATACGCATTGTTATTATTTTGTATTCTCGGAGAAAATATAATCTAAGATTGTCGTTACGATCGATGTTTGTTGATTGATCGCGTAAATCTTTGAATCTTTGTCGTCGTTGAAGCGGCGATCTAAACAACGCGTCGTTCGTTGCTTGCCCGGGTGCTTGACACCGACCCTCACACTCGATGGTTTACGTACAATAGCATTGACACTGACCAATACAGCACACGATAATAATCAATACTTTGCCGATCTGACAACTAGCTCGTTTTAAAATTGAGAACGCTTTCCACACATTATAACTACCACTCAATGACGGTATTACCACAGTGATCGCAGTGGTGTGTTATATTTCAAAACGTGTTTGTCACGTCTCTGTTTCACGCTTCAATAATCTCAATGGAATTTCCTGCACAGTAATAATGTAGAACAGCGCGTTTGAATATTTACCACCTTGCTACATGTTCGTAGTACTGGACAACCAATTTCAGTCGAACTGTGTGTGAGATCGCAGTTGCTCAGCAAACTATAATTCGACATTCAACTCCAGCCTGGGCTTTTATATTCTCTGGGTGTGTTATCAATATGGTAGACAATTATTCTAATAATATCCATTTATCGACAACAATCATTGTTAGCAACTGTCAACTAGTGAATGGTTGCTATGCAGATAACCGATGTAATTTGAGAACATTACGTCTATTTTTTTTTTCTTTTAACCTTTTCACCACCAGACTTTCTCCCCCAAATTTTTCTGAACATTTTTCTTATATTCTTCAATATTTCTGGAAATGAACCCTAATTTTTTAGCTAACAGACAAAATTTGAGTCAATTTTTAGTTTTTACTCCAAAAATTTGGCTATTTATGTTCAAATCTTTTGAAGGAAAATGCAGACTATGAGCAGGATTATTTTGTGAATTTGTGATGAAAACAGGGAACTGGTGGTGAAAAGGTTAAATCCAAGAGCACAATTAATTATGACATTATTATTAACTCAAAATCATACTCCCACAAAGTGAAATCCTAAATGCACTACACTAAGTGGTTTCATTTCTACTTTTATAAATAAAAACTACAACAATGTTGCTGAAATAATTAACTCTTAAAAATTATTTGTTATAATTTTTGAGTAATATTAATAAATTATTTGTTTACTATCAACACTTCAAACTCATTCTTTTAATTTTTATAACAATTATCAATTTAAATAAGAGTTAAATATCATGTTTTCAGCCAAAATTTATTCCAACTAAAATAAACTAATCATATGTACTTGGTCAAAAATACAGGTCATGTATTGTTTTTAATAAATACCGTTAAAAATGAAAATAATTAACACTTGCATTCTTATCTGGGATCCTAATGACTTAATACATATTCGCTATGTTGGCTGCTTATAGGTGATATTAAGGTTTAGCCATTAGAAATTGAGGGTGGGGGTAAATTTATAAAACAAAACAAAAGAATCCTACACTTGGACAAGGAAATAAGACAAAAAAAAAATGATACCGAAATTAGACGCGCATCTCCAATGGAAACATAGACATGTATAAACAAAAATCGCATTGGCTGTATACCAAATTTGTTTGTTTTTTTACCGTAGACAAATCTCAGTATTTGCATAAGTGTATATGCTACTTAACCATTTCACCACCAGTTCCCACTTTTCACCACAATTTCAATTTATAGTCTGCACTTTCCATCAGAAGATTGGGCCAAAAATAGCCAAATTTTTTGAGTAAAAACTCAAAGTTGACTCAAATTTTGTCTGCTGGCTTCAAAATTAGGGTTCATATCCAGAAATATTAAAGAATACAAGAAAAAAGTACAGAAAAATTAAAAATTTGGACGAGAATGTCTGGTGGTGAAAAGGTTAATGAGGCAAATATGGTATTCAAAAGCATGTACATATCTAATTGAAAAAGCCAAATCTGTTTATGTAGTCACTTTCCGATTAATCAACATGACAACTGAACAACCGAATTATCTAAAATACAAAGAATAATTAGGATTTTTATAGAACTGTGAGATACTCAAAAAATCATTTTTTTTTAATATATAATCGCTGTGATCACAGCAAATAACCAACTAAGATCAATGTCCTTTGCTTTGAATGGTGTTTTTTGGGTGTGGTTAATAAGGATATATTCTTTAACGCTGACAAAAAATACATAATATTCAGAAGTGTACAA